AAAAAAAAAAAAAAAAATTGTCCAAACTCTCATTAAAAGTTCTCACCATCTTGCATTTTTCTACAAGAAATTTATACATGCATGTTTCAAACTTAGTAAAAAAAAAAAAGAAAAAAAAAGGTTCTTCCAAGATAAATTCATGAAAAGTCCATTTTTTAGACATCAAAATACTTTGAGCACATGATTTTGGAGCATCACATCATCCATTTTCTCCAAGTATCACACCATTCACTTTTCATGGCATTTGCTTTCTTTTCAAAAGAATGATATTTCCCATGAATGCCAATTTAGTGTTTGCAATGGTGAATCATCAACTTATCCTCTTAAACATGCTTGGCATACTTAATGAAGAAAAATCCATGCTTTAAGATACAACTTCACACACATTACCACTTTTAAGCATATTTATGCTTTTGCATTCTTTATCCCTTGTTTTCCATCCACATTTATTTCTTTTCTTAGATTCCCTAAAATCCATGTTTTAGGACACAATTTCACACACATTATCACTTTAGAGCATATTTATGTTCCTTCATCCTTCATCTATTGTTTAGCATCCATGTTTATTTCTTGTCTTGCATTCCCATAATCTTGTTTGATTCTCTGCCTTCAACAATTGAAATATGGATTCATACATGGTCAAGTGCGATTCTTCGTCAGTCAAGACACCTTTTGAAATATTCATCCATGGAGAAAGTTTTGACCAACAAAGGATTGAGGAAATCTCCAATTACAAGTATTTCTCTCCTATCATTCACAATTGCCAAGTCCAAGGGGCAAGCTTAGAAGGACAAGAACCAAAAGCAACCTCGAAGATCAAAAGCTCAAGCACATCACACTTCATGTTGCTCCAGCAATCAAGGGATTCATCAAGGAAAAAAAATGGAACTTCTCATTAGACAATTGTACTTTGAAAGATCTAGGAGTCAGATTTTACTAGGGAGTTGAATGCTACCGTGTTGATGTACTTAGTGTGATGTACTAGGCTTTTACTTTGTAATGAATGACCATTTTTGTAATGCATGTTGAGCTACTTGTAAGTGTCTTTTCTATAGCTCTTGGAGTCTATGGAAATCTCAAGGCATTCAAAGATATTTTGCTTCATTCGAGGCTCCTTAAGGATTGGAAATCGACAATGTGTGAATCCATATAGCAATTGTTGAAGCACTAAATCATGCAAAATTATGGGATGACTTCTAACATTATTCTAACTTTGTTTATTTTTCTTTTACTTTTTGTTTGCAGATAAGCTTCATAAACTACTTCAAAAGTACAAAAAAAAAAAAAAAATCAGGCATGACAGTCTCTCTATGTTTTCTCCCTCTTTGGAGCAATGCATATCCATCTAGAAGCGGCCTCAACATGCTGAAGTGGACTTACACACAAGATATGTGGATCTAGATTCAATGAATGAAGGGGGCAAATCTAGGATATGGGGAAATTTGAGTATTATTACTCCTAAGGATGAACCCCTATTTGACATGACCATTACTTCTGCCTTGGGGGCATTTTGGCCAATTGGACAGTTAAGCTTTTCTCTGCTTCATTCATCTATGAGTAGGATAAGTCAGCTTTCTAGTAGCTCAGCTTGTGGCTACATGAAAGGAGGGAATAACAAGCTCTTTTATATTCTCTGAAATATTTGCTATTATGCCAATTAGTTTTCTAGTCTTTACAATTCAATAACACATGTTGTCATATCACCATCCAATAAACTTGATGCAACTCTTCTTGTTAATCATTGTCCAAACCATCATTTACCATTGAGACATCATTTGATGCCATTAATATGCTCGAGAACAAAAAAACAAAAAAAAAAAAATTTACTTGCATATATATGCTTTCTTCACACGCTGTTGCTTATCTATGTTTTTTTTTGCTTTCAGGCTTTGCTAATGATGAATCTGAATACAATGATGCCATTTCAGGATTGGTATATGGTTCAAATGATCCAAATCCATGTCGAGGAAGATGATGGTGATCTAGATTCTTCCCTTGAACTAATTGATGTGTTGCAAAATAGAGGCCAAAGTTGCAGTCAAATGTGATAGACTCATACAGAAGAAAAAAAAAAAAGATAAAGAGGGAGAGAATAAGGAAATATTGCTAACTTAAGTAAAATGGTTGTCATCATTTTGATGTCTAAAGTGAAAAGCTCAAGGATCAAAGCCATCTTTCATGAGCCTAATTTCCAAACACTTTACCCCACTACTGCAGGAATGTAATATTCAGACCGACCAATCGGTCCGTATATATCCCAAATCGGTCTGAACATATATATCCG